CGCCTTCAGAGAACGGATTCTCCTCTGTTGGCGGCGGATTTACCAGTGGTCCTGAGATACACGGAGGAAACGGCTTCACAAGTGGCACCGTTGGTGCATCTTCACATGAATCTTCATTTGGTGCTGGATACAGTGGGGGATCTGGAGGACCTTCTGGTGCCTGCCGTGCAGGAGAGATCCTACATGTAGACGGGTCTTGCGTTGTTCCTAAAATTACAAGAACCGTGTATGTGTTCACCGCCCCTGAGGAGCCTCAGCCCCCAATCAGTCCGCCACCAATCGTGCCACCACCGAGAGTGGAGGAAAATATCGTGTTTGTTCGTGTTCCGGAAGCAGGACCGGCACCTGATCCCATCATCCTTCCTCCACCACGCCAAGAACAGATCGTGTACGTCCTCAACAAGAACGATGGAGGAGAAGGCCAGCGAGTGATCGAGGTCACTGCTCCTCCACCTTCTGATCCTGAAGTTTACTTCGTCAACTACGAAGAAGGAGAAAATCCAACTCTTCCCATTGGTGTTGATCTTGAGACTGCTCTTAGTGCCGCCGCCAACGGAGGGAGTCAGGTCCTCGGGGGAGCAGGTGGCTTTGGGGGAGAAGGGGGATTTGGCAACGATGGAGACAGCGGATTCGGCGGTATTGGAGTAAATGGATTTGATGGAGGATTTGGCGGAGTTAGCTTTGGTGGAGATGGAGATTGGCGGAAGTGGAGTTTAGTTGGGTGGAGATTTGGCGAAGTGGAGGAGTTGGGGAGATGAGGATTTGGGAAGTGGAGGAAGTAGCTTTGGTGGAGATGGAGGATTTGGCGGAAGTGGAGTAAGTAGCTTTGGGGGAGATGGAGGATTTGGCGGAAGTGGAGGAAGTAGCTTTGGGGGAGATGGAGGATTTGGCGGAAGTGGAGTAAGTAGCTTTGGAGGAGATGGAGGATTTGGCGGAAGTGGAGGAAGTAGCTTTGGAGAGATGGAGGATTTGGCGGAAGTGGAGTAAGTAGCTTTGGGGAGATGAGGATTTGGCGGAAGTGGGGAAGTAGCTTTGGGGGAGATGGAGGATTTGGCGGAAGTGGAGGAAGTAGCTTTGGAGGAGATGGAGGATTTGGCGGAAGTGGAGGAAGTAGCTTTGGAGGAGATGGAGGATTTGGCGGAAGTGGAGTAAGTAGCTTTGGGGAGATGGAGATTTGGCGGAAGTGGAGGAAGTAGCTTTGGGAGAGGTGGAGTAAGTAGCTTTGGGGGAGATGGAGGATTTGGCGGAAGTGGAGTAAGTAGCTTTGGAGGAGATGGAGGATTTGGCGGAAGATAGGAGGCGGAAGTAGCTTTGGAGGAGATGGAGGATTGGCGGAAGTGGAGAAGTAGCTTTGAGGAATGGAGGATTTGGCGAAGTGGAGGAGGTAGCTTTGGGGGAGATGGAGGATTTGGCGGAAGTGGAGTAGGAAGCTTTGAGGGAGATGGAGGAGTTACCGGTGCAGGGGTGGGAGATATCATCGGACTTGTTGACATTCGAAGAGGCAATGGAGCAACCGCCGGCGGTGGAGCTGAAGGTCATGGAGGAATAAGTAATAATGAAGGATTCAGAGACAGCGGAAGAGGGGGACTGTCCTCCTCGTCATAAAGGTTCATTATACGTATCAAAATAGGAATTTTGATTTGTTATAGTCTTTTGTATAAATATCTTGTTTTCTATATCTAATCTGTTAGTTCATTTCTAGCTAACTGCCAAACTAGAAATGTTGTACTGTTATGTTTTTTGTTTTTAGCTTTATTAAATATATTATAAATAGGTTAACTATTTCGTTTTATTTAGCTATTCCTGTTATTTAATGGCAATTAAGAATTCTTACAAGAATGACACTAACGGTCCAACAATAATCATTCTGACTGTTTATGTACATGGATAGACACATCAAGAGAGGAAATAGGAGTATCTTCATCAGTAAATGGTAACACAGTAGGTAAGCGAATGGTAATACAAACAGACACACGCCCGTACTTGTGCACATACACACACACATAAACACACATACTTAGATATATATATATATATATATATATATATATATATATATATATATATATATATATATATATATTATATATATTATATATATATATGTGTGTGTGTTGTGTGTGTGTGTGTGTGTGTGTGTGTGTGTGTGTGTGTGTGTGTGTGTGTTTGTTTTCGACAAAAAAAAAAAAAAAAAGCGAAAACCAAAAATAAATAAAGAAAAACAATATATATATACATTCATATAAACATATACTCATACTTCATACACACACGTATGCTGCTGTGTATCTCTTGTGTTTGTAATACATTTATACAGATACACACACACACACACACACACACACACACACACACACACACACACACACACACACACACACACACACACACACACACACACACACACACACACACACACACACACACACACACACACACACACACACACACACACACACACACACACACACACACACACACATACACACACACACACACA